AATACCCTGGGAAAGACCTGAACCATCAGGATGGATGAATATTTGTTGTAATAAATGAAGAAGCAGATTTTATAATGAGATACCTGGCATTCTGAAGCCCAAATTCTTTCTGAATTCATCTCAGTTCTACAACTAACATCAATGCCATTCTCAGAACTACACCATTACTATCTATCATTTAAATTCCTTAGACAGAGGAATATTCCTTAATTGACCATGTATCTGGTCTTTAAAGCTATTGGACATCATTTGAAGAAGATAACACATTGAATTCGTATCTGGCATTTTAGTAGTAAAGAGCCTAGTTATTGGACAATCAAAGTATCTATTTGGCCCATTGTCATAAAAGAATTTTAACAATTCTTTAATTATTTAACAATGTCTTTAATTATTTAGAACCTGTTAGAATATGAACTATAATCTCAGTATTATTATTTATTTTTGAGAATAAATATAATTACATCATTTCCTCTTCCCTTCCTTACCCCAAACTTTTCTTATGTACCCCAACTTGCTCTCAAATTCACGGCCTCATTTTCTTTAATTGTTGTTACACATATCTCTCTCTCTGTGTGTGTGTGTGTGTGTGTGTGTGTGTGTGTGTGTAGTTCTAAATATATAGATACAGCTTGTTCATTCTGAATGATGTTACTTCTGTGTATATGATTTCAAGACTGAGCACTTGGTATTGGATAACTGGTTTTGGGATCTCTTCTCTGGGGAAGACTATTTCTCCTGCTCTCAGCTTTCCTTAGAAATTCTTTATTTAAGGTTGAGGCCCCATGAAATTTCCTCTTTCCATGCTAGCATGTCAATTAGTGTCATCTGCTCAGGTCTTGTGTAGAAAACCATGTCCAATATTATGGTTGTTAATAACACCCTATTTAGGTAAGGGACCTACTGAGGTACCTCTCCAGTTCTAATGCCTCTTATTTTAAAAGTACAGTTATTGTTTTCTCCCAGTTAGTCATTTATATGGCTTAGCCAGCCTCAGTCCCTTCATAGTTTTACCAAATAATAGCAAGGCAATGAGAAGCTAAGCATACATGGCTTTCTCCTGGAGTATAAGGGCCCAAATGAATTGTGCAATTGCACATCAGTAAGTGTCAGAGATGCCGGGTGTTGGTGGTGCATGCCTTTAGTCCCAGCACTTGGGAGGCAGAGGCAGGTGGATCTCTGTGAGTTCAAAGCCAGCCTGGTCTACAGAGCTAATTTTGGGACAGGCTCCAAAGCAATACAGAGAAATTCTGTCTTGAAAAACAAAAACATAAATAAAAATTAAAAAATAAAAACAAACAAACAAAAAGTGCCAGAGCTTCTCAGAAGTGTAAAATGCTCTGGTTGGTTATAAAATACATTGCACAGGAGGTGAGTGAGGCCCACAGGCAGCAGAAACACAGTTGAATTGTTCTGAGTCCAGAAAGGCAACGTCTCAGTCCGTTTCAATGCTACATCCAGAATGTCCACATTTCTTTCATTCATTTCTATGTGAGAAGACATTTTAGTACAAACAGGCCTTCTGAAAGTGAACAGGAAGTAAATACTGTGTTGAGTATAAGAAGGTAGGGATGAGAAGTTCATCCCTCATGTGCTACAAATTATTTAAGTGACCCAAATTTGATGAGACTAGTAAGGTGTGAGGGAGAAAGAGAAGGAACAACAGTCACCAGGTAGGAGTGAGCCCCTTCCAGGTTCCACGTGAATTTCCCGCCTGAATTCCTCTCTGAATAAAGCTCTTCCCAGAAAGGACTGCCAAGAGCCAGCAAGGCTGACCTTCAAAACAAGATCTCCAATTACCCACAAATCACCAGGTGTGTAAATTGCTGCCTGAAGTCCTGCGTGATTAACTGGTCAGCTTTCCATTTAACTATTACTTAAAGAGCACATTTCCAATAAAAATAGCCTCTCCAGAGATGGAAAATTAAACAGTTACTTAAGGCCACCCACTTAGAGCCAGAAAAGGAAAAGGGGAACTAGTTCATGTGCTTACAAATTGTGGTGGTACCTGCTCATCCTCAGGCTCAGAGCTGATCCAGAAAAGTCATAGATAAGTGCAGCAGCCAATTATGCTATCCAACTCAGGCTATATAAATGAGCCACAATTGTACTCAAATCTCAGTCAGTACTTCTAAGATTAGAGAGGACGGCAACAAGGTTATCTGCACTGTTTTTTTTCTAATGACGTGTAATTGATGTATGCATTTCACATGGATATTTAGTGCTCTCAGTATGACATGGCTCTCTCTCACTCTCATTTGGGGCTGGAGAGATCCAGTTTTAAATCCCAACAGTGTAAACTGCTAGCAAATCTTTGATCCACTTCTTTGGTACAATGGGGACACTATGATTAAATGGACTCAAGGAATCAAAACAGTAAAAAAGTGCCTCCCAATGCCCAGTACAAAGTAGGCCAAAGTAAAAGTAACACATATGATGGTGATTTGGCTATTAATAAACTTAGGTGATAATTTCATATTTATAAACAATGGTTTTGTCATAATTAATACAGATCTAACAGTAGCTGCTCCGATCATTTACCGAGGATGTTTTTGAGATAAATGAGATATAATATGTGAGATCCTCACTAAAGCTACTAATTTTTCACAATTGTAAAGTAACCCTTTCTGTCTACTTGACATATCCCTTTATAAATCCTTATTTGTTTCCTTAAAACAAATTCTTTAAGTGCAGGAGACTCCTTGTTTTTGTTGCTCCTGTAAGCAGTGGGCACATGGGCCAGTCACTTAATACAGTTGTCAAGACTGGAAGACATTAAACTAAATTTTCTCCTGTGATGATTTTCTTTCTTAGCTGTCCCTCTGCATGCTTGTACTTCTATTTGAATTAATTGATTTAATATTAAGTTCTCTGGAGTAATACTAACCAAACAAGTGAAAGACCTATATAATAAGAACTTTGAGTCTTTAAAGAAAGAGATTAAAGAAGATACCTTTTCTCCCATGTTCTTAAATAGGTAGGATCAACATAGTAAAAATGGCAATCTTGCCAAAAGCAATCTACAGATTCAATGCAATCCTCATCAAAATCCCAGCACAACTCTTCATAGACCTTGAAAGAACAATACTCAACTTTATATGGAAAACCAAAGACCCAGGATAGCCAAAACAACCCTATACTTTAAAAGAACTTCTGGGGGCATCACCATCCCTGACTTCAAGCTCTATTATAGAGCTATAGTCCTAAAAATAGCTTGGTATTGGTGCAAAAATAGACAGGTAGACCAATGGAATTGAATAGAAAATCCTGATATTAACCCACACACCTACGAACACCTGATTTTTGACAAAGAAACTAAAATTATATAATGGAAGGAGGAAAGCATCTTCAACAAATGGTGCTGGCATAACTGGATGCTGGTGTGTAGAAGACTGTAGATAGATCCATATCTATCTCCATGCACAAATGGATCAAAGACCTCAACATAAATCCAGCCACACTGAACCTCTTAGAAAAGAAAGTGAGATGTACTCTTGAATGAGTTGGTACAGCAGACCACTTCCTGAACAAAACACCAGTAACACAGACACTGAGATCAAAAATGAATAAATGGGATCTCCTGAAATTGAAAAGCTTCTGTAAGGCAAAGGCCATAGTCAACACGACAAAACAGCAGCCCACAGAATGGGAAAACATCTTCACCAATCCCACATCTGACAGAGGGATGATTTCCAAAATATACAAAGAACTTGAGAAGCTAGTTATCAAAACACCAAATAATCCAATTTAAAAGGGGGTAACAGATGTAAAAAGGGAATTCTATATCTGGGCTTTGGTGGCACACACCCTTAATCCCAGTACTCAGGAGGCAGAGGCAGAGGGATCTCTGTGAGTTCAAGGCCAGCCTGGTTTACAAGAACTAGTTCTAGGACAGCTTCCGAGAATGAGAGAGAGAGAGAGAGAGAGAGAGAGAGAGAGAGAGAGAGAGAGAGAGAGAGAGAGAGAGAGAGAATTCTCAATAGAGGAATCTAAAATGGCTGAAAGACACTTAAGAACTTAACTCTTGTCAGAATGGCTAAAATAAAAAACACCAAAGACAGTTTATGCTGGAGAGGATGTGGAGAAATGGGTACACTCCTCTACTGCTGGTGGGAGTGCAAACTCAAACAGCCACTTTGGAAATCAGTATGGTGTTTCCTCAGGAAAATGGGAATCAGTCTACCTCAAGATCCAGCAATTTCACTCTTAGGAATATACCCAAAAGATGCACATTCATACAAGTACATCTGTTCAACTATGTTCATAGCACCATTATTTGTAATAGTCATGACCAGGAATCAACCTAGATTCCCCTAAACTGAAGAATGGATGAAGAAAATGTGGTACATTTATACAATGGAGTACTACTCAGCAGAAAACAAAACAAAACAAAACAATGGAATCTTGAAATTTGCAGGCATATGGATGGAACTGGAAGAAACCACCCTGAGTGAGGTAACCTAGTCCCAGAAAAAACAAACATGATATGTACTCACTCATATATGGATTTTAGACATAGAGCAAAGGATTACCAGCCTACAATCCACATAACTAGGAAATGAGGCGGACCCTAAAAGAGACATGCATGGTCCCCTGAAGAAGGGGAATGGGACAAGATCTCCTGAGCAAATTGGAAGCATGAGGGGAGGGGAGAAGGAGTTGGGAGAAAAAGAAGGGGAGAAGAGGAGAGGAGGGTATGTGGGAGCAGGGAGATTGAGTTGGGGGAAGAATAGAGGAGAACAAGAAAAGAGAATATTTAAGTTCTCATCTGTCACCATTCCTTCTCTTTATAGATGCATAGCTATAACCAATAGACACTGATAGTGCTTTTTAGTCTTGTCACTGTGACCTTGGGTAAAATATACTCTATACTCCAACTACCCACATGGGCAACTCAGCAGAAGGCCTGCTGAGACAATTAAGTGAACAGTAAGTGCTGTGAAGAGCAAAGACTTGCTCGATGCAGCTTTTCATCTAGGATTGTCCCCTTGGACGTGACTGACCTGTGGATTATGCGCTGGCTCTGCAGGTAGTCTAGGGCCATGGCCAACTCACAGATGAACAGTTTCACTGTGTCTTCCTGAAAGTGGACATTCTGCTGCAGGTGATAACGCAGGTCCCCACCAAGTAGCAGGTCCACCACCATGAACATGTCTTCCTCATCCTGGAAGGAATACCTGGAATGACATTAGAAAAAAATAAATATCAGGGCTGGAGAGATGGCTCAATGGGCAAAGTGCTTGCATGAAACCTGAGTTCAGATCCCCAGCACCCAGATAAAGCCATGGGGTGGGGACTAGTGTGAGAAACCCTTGCACTGGGAGCCAGACATAGGCCAATCTGAAGTTGGAGGGGGTGGGTGGGCTGTCTGGTCAGACTGTCTTGCCAAAATAATGAGCTTCAGGTTTGGTAAGACAGCTTGACTCAAAACTAAGGAAGACAAGTATTTGAGGAAAGACAATGTCAACCTTGGCTTCCATGTATGCCTCCATGAGAGAGTGCACCTACATGCATACATGAATATATGCCAAGCGCATGCACGCGCACACGCGTGTACACACACACACACACACACACACACACACACCAAAACAAAAACAAACAAACAAAAAACCCCAGCAACTACACTTACAGGTTAGAGAACTAGAGGCAAGCCCTACTAGGCTGCTGTCATGCTAGGGAACAGTGAAGTTTAAGTGGCCTCTGCCAAGTAAAATTCCTAACAAATGATACAGTCAAGATGTCCAGAGATGAAATAAAATGTGAAAGAGAACAACATCACATCATGAAGCACAAACATATGAGAGAACTCTGTGGATGGGGTACAGTTTAGATTGTTGGAACATCAGTGATGACACAGAAGCCTGAGTTTAAGGGGAGAATACGTGGGCCAAGTCTATGACAGGAATTTATTCACAAATCTATAGATACTGGGGACCACTATCAAGTGTATGTGTATGAACAGATGCCAGCTCTTCACTTGAAGGATCATGGCGCTGAGGACTGGGAGATGCAGTGAGACACAGACAGCCCCACATGGGCCCCTGCTGTGTACACAGAGCCTCCAACAGAGGTTTGGAGATTTGTTTATATGCTCAGAGCCTTGGTAAAGACTTCTTCTCCAGTGGGAATTTGATTTGGTATGCTCATGGCTCAGGCATGATTGATTGCTACCACAAAGTTACCTAAATCAATACTGCTTCGATGTGTTTCTGTTTTCCTAATGTCACTGAAATCATAGTTTGAAGTTTTATTTGTGTTGAAGAACTAAGTGCGTGCAAGCATGTAAATTCTCGGTGATGAATTCTCTGCTCAGGAGTAACTGTAGAACACCAATGATGGGACAAATATTAAAGGGCAGGGAGCGATTTATAGACAACAAGGAATGAGAATTTCAATAAAGCATTAATCTGAAGGAGGCGATGGTCTAATGAAGACTGATGGTCTCTGGTGTTCACTGGTTTAATAAATGAAACTTTGTATTTACAGAGAAGATGTCAGAAACTGATCTCTTGGAGAATTAAGACAAACGCAGGAAGTGATTTTTAAGACTTTGGCATGATGTGCTTGCTTGGTCTTATCTTTAAGAATTATGTATGCTCTTTACTACAGTGGGATGGCTGGCTGGCTAGTTCTGCTTCAGGTTTAAAAGGCACAAGGAAAGCTGCTGGGTCTAGACACTTCCATTTGAAATACTTCCAACTGCACCAACACAAATTATATTCACTGTGTTCTGGTGATCTTTCAGTGAGCCATCCTGGGATAATTAACATGTAATCACACCCACCACTGCACCTCAGGCTGCACTTGCTCCAGGACTTGCAGATGAGTGAGGATGGGGAGAATGGGAACTGGGTACCAAGAAAAGGGGAAATACAACGCCAATCATAAACTAGATGCCACTGGAAAGTTAGCCTGTGGAGCAGACCTACATTACTCGCTGGTATTGATTGCCTTGCACTCTCAGGCACCTTGCACTGTCAGACCTCCTGACACACTGGGGCTCTCCTCTCCTTTTGTTGCACTAAACTCTAAGTGTAAATATTCTTTATACTAAATTCAGTGTGAACAAGCAAACACTTTTACTAAGGCTTGAGTTAAGTGATTTCTGTCCAAAGAACAAACTGATGCAAGTGCCAGTCGTGACAACTTAACAGCAGTGTTCCAACATGCAGGGGATTAGTAATCAAAGAGAAAGGAGGCCAAGGCAAGAGGCAACATGCTCCCCTGGCCAGCAGAAATAGGAATTTAGTAAGCTGTGAAGTCAAGTCTGACTGTTAAAAATCATCTTCCTTCTTCAGCTCATCACATCTGAATCCTACTTTGCTTTCTTAAGTTTCAAAGGGAAAAGATAAGCATTTAATTTTCTGAAATTAATTAAAAACATGCAGGCATAACATAATTTAGTGATACACTGAATGGTAGGGCTCTTAACATAATCTGACTTTAAAATAAAAAGACTTTCCTGGGAACTCAGCACGGTGTCACAGAGACTCACGGATGGGTTTCTGTAGCCATAGTTTCCTATGACATAGTGTGGCATAGGCATAGTTCTTAGCTAGCTATGCTAACATTAACAAATCTAGCCCTGATACATGTGAATTTACTAAGTCCTATGTTCATTAATATTTCCACAGGCCAATATGATGGAGGCAATTTATAAATTGCAATTCCCCCTTCCCAGGTGGCTCTAGTTTGTGTTATGTTTACAAAAAACTAACCAACACAGAAACAAAAAATCAAGCAAACAAATATGCATGCATATGCATGTATGTATATGTACAGTGTACATATAATGGATATATGTTAAAAGACATAATACATACAAGGGAAATAAGCAATGCTGATTCACGCATAAAATTTTCTGCCAAAAACTTACTTTGTCTAAATGAGGGCATTTATGCCATTTTTTTAATTTTATAGTTTTTGATTTGTATTTTACTTGACTTTGAAATTCAAATGAACATGAGAGAAATACTTTCTTCTACTTGTATTTAATGTTGGTTGCCTCATTGGAAAAAAGAGCTAACCATGTTGGTTTCTGATATGCATAAATCAATCTAGGAACATTCACCAAATACAAATTCAGTGTCCATAGTTCTATACTACACGAATATGCCTTTCCATATGAGAGAGTAAGGATAGAGATAACTAACACTAAATACCTTTGAAAAAGTCATATGGAAAACTACTACAGTTGAAACTTCCTAAAATATATGTAGACATAGACATATGTATCATATATAAAAGGAGTTTAAATGGAATCACTCCATAATAGGGGAATGCTTTTTGTAGATAACATAGGCTATCAGATAAAAATCCCAGAGACATGTATGGGTTCTGACTTTCAAATTTCAAGTCATTGGTAAATGTGGTTCTATAGACTCCCTGACATACACACACACACACACACACTCACTCACTTATCTCTGTTGTATTACAGGTTATTGATATTACCTCCAAAACTTGGTGATAAGTCCTTATTGGTAAGATAAATCAAGAATTTGAGTCATAGGGCATAGAGAAAACAAATTGGTACTAGCCTGGAACCTTCATTATTACTGGATAGCCTCCATAGTTCTGCAACAGTCTAAAAATTCTACTAGGAGATAAAAGGTAATCAGCAAGCAGTATTACCTGACTGCAAAACCTGTAAACTACAATAGCACATACTCTGACATGACAGGCCCAGCCATGCATAGGTAGCATGAATGCTAGGGGAGTAACCAACCACTCTATAATCGTATTTAAGGCCTACCACACAAGACAGAATACATGTCTAATACCTTTAATTTGGCACAAATCACGTGTCTGGTTAGGCCCTAGGCACCTATGAAAGAACCCAATACTTTTATTCTGCTAAATGCACACAGCATTGAATTGCCCCCTAAGTTTTTTCTTAATACACATATATTAGTGCATCTTTCACCCCTTATCAATGAACTTCCTTTTCAGCAGATGGTGTCTAAAACAAAACCCGACAACTGTTCAGCAAGCATAGAATAAGAAACTGTGGCATGCTTAGCTCTAAATGAAACATTTACACAAGTCTCAAGCATCATCATGGAAGAGAAGTCATAAAAATTGTGAGAGTTTGAGGTGGTGAATAACTTCAGAAAAACAGTATTTTTCAACATGACAGGTCTGTTCACACATGAAGGACTATCACACTGACTATGTTCATAAGAGCTGTACAAGAGCAAGTCAACTAAAATTTAATCATGGAAGGAGGAGTTTAGGAAGCCCCACCTGTGTCTGAGGAGCCATTGGCAATGATAGCTACTGAGGGAAGGCAACTCAGTTTTCAAGCAAGCATTGAGAATCTACCCGTGCTCCAGTAGTAGTTACACACATGCACAGATGGTCAGCAAGCACTACTAGGTGGCCTCGATGAGATTGGGGGACAGAATGGGAAGGTAGTGGAGAAATTAGAGGGGAGGTAACGAAGGGTGGATTTGATCAAAACACATGATATTCATGTACGAAACAGTCAAACTGCTTTTTACAAAGACATTATATAGATCCTGTGGGTCTTGTATTCTATAGTTTCCCTGACCAATACCTTTTATATTCTAGCAAAAGTTCTGTTGAAGAAATCAAATTATTATTCTTTTTTTTTGTCACAGCATTTCAAGAGGTTGGAGTTCTGCAAATTACATGCATGCCCTGCATCTAATATGCTCCATGAGTCTGTATTTGTGAAAATTGATAGATCGATCTACAGGTTTACTGAAATGCATGTTGTATGGGTTGTTTATTTGGGGTGAGTACAAAGTTACTTTATAGCTGAATCTATGAATTTTAATAAACATGTATATAATTCATAGATCTTCTTTGTACTCTTATCTACCATTATACATCATGGTCTAGAGCCTAAAGTTTTTTCAGAGTGGTAAAATTGAATACTGTCATTTCTCCTTTATGTTTTCAATGGAGTACCTTAATAAAGAAAACTATTTAATAAATTATTTAGTTATGGTGAAGCGTGTTCAGATAGGAAAGATTAAAACAGACATTTAAAGATGATCTCTCTTTTCCCAAAGATTTTCAAACTGATTTGTTTCCTAATAGCTTCCAAAAGCAACCAACACCATTTTCAAAAGTGTCCCAATGAGCTCATGGGTTTGGTGTTATCATTGCTGTTGCTAGTGTGTACTGTTCATTCTTGAACCAGGGA